AGTGAGCTGAGATCCGGCCACTGCACTCCAGCCTGGGCAACAGAGTGAGACTCCGTCTCAAAAAATAAATAAATAAATAAATAAATAAAACAAAATAGAGAACTCAGAAATAAATTCACGCATTTACAGTCAACTAATTATTAACCTAGGCACGGAGAACACACCCTCTGGAATAACAATCTTTTCAATAAACTGTGCTAGGAAAACCCAACACCCACATGTAGAAGAACAAATCTACATCGTTATCTTATCATATACAAAATTCAACTCAACATAAAGATTTAAATGTAGGACCTGAAACTATGAAAGTACTAGAGAAGAAAACATAGGATAAATGCTTAATGAAATTGGTTAGGAGAAGGAATTTTCAAACAGACATCAAAAGTACAAGCAACAAAAGCAAAAAATAGACAAGTGGAATTACATTAAACTTAAAAGCTTCTGCAAAGCAGAGGAAGCAATCAGTGGAATGAAGAAACAATCCAGAAAATGGAAGAAAGTATTAGCAAACTATGCATCAGGCAAGCGGTTAATACACAAAAAGCAAGACTACTGAAAAGCAAAAATACAAGTAATCTAATTTAAAAATCAGAAAAAGATCTACCCAAAACCTTTGGTCCCCCACCATTATTTCCCCACCTTCTTTTCCCTACTGCTTTCGGCCCCCTCCCTCTCGCCACCCCTTTTTCTTTTGCCATCTACCCCAAAACTTTTTCCCCACCATTTTCCCCCACCAACTTTTCACAAAGCCCTCTCTACTCTACCGCTCACCACCATCTTTTCCCCTCTTCCTGGCCACCCTCTTCCCCCGTCGCGCTCTCATCACCCTCTTTTGCTCCTGCATCCACCCAAAAACATTTTCCCTCATCTTTTCCCAAAGCTTTCTCCCCACTCCTGCTGCTCACCACCCTCTTTTCCCCCTCCATCTACCCAAAAACTTATTTTTCCACCATCTTCTTCCTCACCCTCGGTCTGCAACGCCTTCTCCTGCTCGCCGTCCTTTTTTTCCCTTTGACACTCACCATCCTCTTTACCCCTCCATCTACCCCAAAACTATTTTCTCCTCTCCTACCTCCTCAGCTGCACTGCCATCTCCGTGGCCGCCACCAACCGCAGCGAGGGGAGGTGCGCTGTCACAGGCCCCAGTCTCCAACGTGGGGCACGTTGCTCTTCCATCTCCTCATCCTCTAGCCGGACAGGAGCAGCTCTCCCTGCCGGCGGCCCTCCTATCGCTCCCGGGACGCTGCAGTCTCGGTAGCTGCCACCTACCACAGCGAGGCGAGGCGTGAGGAGAACCACGGTGCCCGTGGGCTCCAGCCTCCAGCCTCCGGCCTCCAGCCTCCAGCCTCCGGCGTGTAGTACGTAGTAGGTGGCTTCCTAAGCTAGCACGGAACAGCTTGGCAGGCTTAGGCAGGAAAGCATGGCCTCACTGCCCACCTCAGCAGGATTCCTATACTGATGTTAGGCAATGGGGTTCCTGGACTACATGTTCTGATTGGATGAGAGAAAAACCTCTAGGCCTACTCTGATTGGACTTTATTTTCATGCTCAGATTGGTTGTCCTAGTGCTTGCTCTCATCCAATCAGAACATGATAGTAAAGTCCAATCCAGCTTGAGTTAATTTTTTCTAAGGTGTAAAGAAGAGGTCTAGTTTCAGTTTTCTGCATAGACTCGCCAGTTTTCCCAGTACCATTTAATGAATAGAAGATCCTTTCCCCATTGCTTGTCAAAGATCCGATGGTTGCAGATGTGTGGTGTTATTTCTGAGGTCTCTGTTCTGTTCCATTGGTCTATATATCAACATCATTGATCATTAGAGAAATGCAAATCAAAACCACAATGAGATAACATCTCATGCCAGTAGGAATTGCGATGATTAAAAAGTTGAGAAACAATAGATGCTGGCAAGGCAACATTCATTCCTGATTAAAAAAATGCAAAACTCCACGTAAATAGAGGAGAATTTACTAAACTTGATAAATGGCATACATGAAATATCTGTAGCTATTATACTTAATGACATAAGACTGAATATTTTCCCCATAGGATCAAAAATGAGACAAGGAAATCCACTCTTATCACGATTGAAACTGCCTTTGCAAAATTGTGACTGAGACAGTGAGAGATCTAACTTAATCAACTCCATCTTGCTTCTAACCTCCAAGTTGTCCTTGCTCATTCCTGGGTGTAGACTGAACTAACTTCGGGAGAAACTTAGTTTATAGTTTATAGTTTAAAACAAAGACGGTAACAGCCCTTTCCCAAAGCAGACCTCCTTCTTGCTTGGGCACTAGATTGCCTTCATAGGGCTCACATTAACCACAAGATTAGAAATTACGGTTTAGGAGTCATGCAGCTGAAGTCTAAAGATTCTGACCCTCCCTAAACTGCTCCTAAGATCAGTGCTGGAGAAATTTTGCAGACCCTGCACTTGATGGATCAGCTGGCACCATCCAGATGGATTAACTGGCTCATCTGATCTCGTGGCCCCCACCCAGGAACTGACTCAGCTCAATAAGACAGTTTCAACTCCCTTTGATTTCATCCCTAACCAATCAGCACTCTTGGCCCACTGGCTTCCCCCGACCCACCAAGCTGTCCTCACAAACTCTGCTCCTCAAATGCTCAAGGAGACTGATTTGAGTAATCATTAAAAAACTCCGGGCCGGGCACGGTGGCTCGCCCCTGTAATCCCAGCACTTTGGGAGGCCGAGGCGGGTGGATCATGAGGTCAGAAGATCGAGTCCATCCTGGCTAACACGGTGAAACTCTGTCTCAGGTAAAAAATACAAAAAATTAGCCAGGCGTGATGGCGGCCGCCTGTAGTCCCAGCTACTCCAGAAGCTGAGGCAGGAGAAAGCCTAGGGAGATTCCGTCTCAAAAAAAAAAAAAAACAGACATAGTCTTACTCTTTTGCCCAGGCTGGAGTGCAGTGGCCTGATCTCGGTCCACCACAACCCCTGCCTCCCAGGTTCAAATGATTCTCCTGCCTCAACCGCCCAAGTAGCTGTGACTACAGGCGCGTGCCACCATGCCTGGCTAATTTTTGTATTTTTAGTAGAAGTGAGGTTTCACCATGTTGGCCAGGCCGGTCTCCAACTCCCGATCTCGAGATCCGCCTGTCCCGACCTCCCAAAGTGCTGGGATGCATGAGTCACCACGCCTGGCCTCCTTTTTTTCTTTTCTTCTCTTTTTTCTTTTCTTTTTTTTTTTTTTTTTTTTTTTTTTTTTGGTAGACGGAGTTTCGCTCTTGCTGCCCAGACTGAAGTGCAATAGTGCGATCTCAGCTCACTGCAATCTCCACCTCAGCAGGAGAGCAGGAATCTTCAGTGATCCACTGGCAGATCTGCAGCCATTGTGCACCCCTCTTCTTACAATGTCTTTTTTGTGCGCGCCTCTCCTTCCAGTACCTACTGCAGGAGCGTCCCCCAGCCTCCCGCCATTGCCAGCAAGTGCTGAGATCCGCCATTGCACTCCAGCCTGGGCGACAACATCGAAATTCCGTCTCAAAAAAAAAAAGAAAAAAAAAAAGGATGAAAATTTTGGAAAAATATGGAAGAAACCGAATGGATTTCTAGTTCAACTAAATCGTAATTATTCAGTATCTATTTTTTGCAAGAAACCATGTATTTCATGTCCACAGTCAGGACCACAGTCTAGCTCTCAAGTGTGGGTGTTTCCTAAGCAAATTGAAGAACACAGGCATAAAAGTGCATTAAGTTCATAACCATTTACCTCTTTTTTGCTGTTGTTTTTAAGAGGGAGCCTGCCTCTTTCTGTTGTCCAGGCTGGAGTGCAGTGGCGCGATCTCGGCGCACAACCACCTCTGCCTCCCTGATTCAAGTGATTCTCCTGCCTCAGCTGCCTGAGTAGTTGGGACTAGAGGCGCGTGCCACCATGCCTGACTAAATTTGTATTTTTAGTAGAGACTCGGTTTCACTATGTTGGCCGGGCTGGTCTCCAACACCTGATCTCCGTGATCTGTCCGCCCGACCTCCCAAAGTGCTAGGATTAGAGGCATAAGCCACCACGCCCGGTCTCTTTTTTTCTTTTTCTTTTTTTTTTTTTTATTTTGGGATGGAGTTTTGCTCTTGTTGCCCAGGCTGGAGTGCAATGGTGTAATCTCAGCTCACTACAATCTCCACTTCAGCGGGAGAGCAGGAACCTTCAGTGATCCACTAGCGGATCTGCAGCCACTGTGGGCGCTTGTTCTTCCTGCGACCTTTGTGCGGGAGTCTCTCCTTCCACTACCTATTGCGTACCCACCCCCCACGTCCGCCTCGCGCCATTGCCAGCAGGTATCTTGCACAGGTACCTTGCCGCGCTAATCCGTTAAGGTCACTCTGTCACTCGCGGCATTCTGTGCACGCCACCCACTCCCTCAGGTTTAAAAGATGCGTTGCCTGGCAACCAGCAGGTGCCTTTTCCGCTGGTATCTTGCCAGGCTAATCCGTTAAGGTCGCTCTATGACTCGCGCCGTTCTGTGCACGCGCACCCACTCCCTCAGGTTTAAAAGGCGCGTTGCCCGGCAACAGAAGAAACTGCTCGCTTAGCCTTCGGCCGAGTTGGCAGCTCGACGAGGACCTCAGAGCCCAGCTCTCGAGAGTTCAAGCGTTGGACGGTTCCCCACTGCTCCCAGGAGCGGTTACCTGGGCACTCTGTGCCCCTTATTCCTGTCCCGGCCTGCGGCTGAGGACCCTGCCAGTAGGGCTCAGTTGCCTGGAGCCCGTTCAACCCATCCCCCAGTTCACTTTGCTTGTGGGATCTCCCCGTTGCTCCTGTCCCTGGACGGAGTGGCAGGCCATCCTACAAGTATCCAGACACTTGGCATCAGTGGTGTCAAGACAACTCCAAGAAGGTTTTCCGTGATCCTTCAAGCCCTGCGTTCGTTCCTGGTGATCCTGCCTTCAATTTGATTGTACAGGTACCACAGCAAGCCAGTGCTGTGTGCTCCAAATTCCAGAGAGTCCTGCAGCTCAGCCCCTGCACTGAGCACAAGGAATCTCTGTGGGGCCAGGAGCAGGGAGTCACCCCTTTGGGGCCCACAACACCTGGCTGTCCCCAGACTCGTGTCCAGGGAAGATCTTGTTGAGGGGACCTCAAGGAGAGCGGGGCAAGGATGCCTGAGCAGGACAAGGACCCCAGAGTCCAAGAGAATCCTGATGATCAGAGAAGGGTCCCCATGGTCACCGGGGATGCACGGTCTGCATTTCAGCCCCTGCGGGACAATGGAGGCCTCTCTCCCTTTGTGCCCAGGCCTGGGCCACTGCAGAGAGACCTCCATGCCCAGAGGTCAGAAGTCAGATATAAGCAGACATCCCAGACCTCCTGGACGAGCTCGTGCACCAAACGCAATGCCATCTCGAGCTCCTACAGCTCCACGGGAGGCTTCCCATGGCTAAAGCGGAGGAGGATGAGGGGGCCAGCCTCATCCCACTGCCAGCTGACCCTCAGTTCCTCAAAGACAGTGAGTGAGGCCAGGCCTCAGGCTGTCCCTTCGGGTCACACCCAGTGTGAAAAGGCAGCAGATACAACACCAGGGCAGACACTCACCCCCAGGACTGGCTCCCCCAGATCCCAGACCTCTAGGCCCCGTAGACGCAAGTTTCCCCTGCTGCCACGCAGGCGAGGGGAGCCTCTGATGCTGCCACCTCCCTTAGAGCTGGGGTTCCGGGTCACTGCTGAAGACCTGGACCTGGAGAAGGAGGCGGCATTCCAGTGCATCAACAGTGTACTGCGGGGTGAGGCCAAGGCCATCTGGGACTGCAGACCCTCACGGCCTTCCCACGCTTTGTCTTCACTTGCAACAGGGGCTTCTGGTCTGCCTGCTGTTTCTAAAGCACCCAGGATGGATGCACAGCAGGAGAGAGACAAGTCCCAAGACTCCCGGGGCCCAGTGGCTCCCCTAGCATCTGTTGCAGAGGCTCCCTCTACAGCTCCTGTGTCTAGGAAGAAGCACAGACCACCAGGCCCCCTGTTCTCCCTCTCAGATCCCCTTCCTGCCACTTCTTCCCACTCCCAGGACCCAGCCCAGGTCACCTCGCTGATTCCTGCCCCCTTGCCAGCTGCAAGCATGGATGGGGGCATGAGAAGCCCAAGGCCTGGCACTTCTGCTCCTGCAGCTGCTGCAGCGGCCCCTCCCCCCCACACTTTGACCCCCACGTCGGGGTCCCTACTGAGTGGAGTGGATGGAGGCCCTTCACATTTCCGGGCCTCAACCACAGCTGCAGCAGGTTCCCAGAGGTCAGAAGTCAGATATAACCAGAGATCCCAGACCTCCTGCATGAGCTCGTGTCCCAAACGAAATGCCATCTCGAGCTCCTACAGCTCCACGGGAGGCTTCCCATGGCTAAAGCGGAGGAGGATGGGGGGGCCAGCCTCATCCCACTGCCAGCTGACCCTCAGTTCCTCAAAGACAGTGAGTGAGGCCAGGCCTCAGGCTGCCTCTTCGGGTCACACCCAGTGTGAAAAGGTGGCAGATACAACACCAGGGCAGACATTCGCCCCCAGGACTGGCTCCCCCAGATCCCAGGCCTCTAGGCCTCGTAGACGCAAGTTTCCCCTGCTGCCACGCAGGCGAGGGGAGCCTCTGATGCTGCCACCTCCCTTACAGCTGGGGTTCCGGGTCACTGCTGAAGACCTGGACCTGGAGAAGGAGGCGGCATTCCAGTGCATCAACAGTGTACTGCGGGGTGAGGCCAAGGCCATCTGGGACTGCAGACCCTCACGGCCTTCCCACGCTTTGTCTTCACTTGCAACAGGGGCTTCTGGTCTGCCTGCTGTTTCTAAAGCACCCAATATGGATGCACAGCAGGAGAGACACAAGTCCTAAGACTCCCGGGGCCCAGTGCCCCCCTAGCATCTGCTGCAGAGGCTCCCTCTACAGCTCCTGTGTCTGGGAAGAAACACAGACCACCAGGCCCCCTGTTCTTCTCGGATCCCCTTCCTGCCACCTCTTCCAACTCCCAGGACTCAGCCCAGGTCACCTCGCTGATTCCTGCCCCCTTGCCAGCTGCAAGCATGGAGGGCAGCATGAGAAGCCCAAGGCCTGGCACTTCTGGAGCCAGTTCCAGCCCTGCAGCCACACCCACGGGCTTTGGGAGCAGAGAGCCAGCCCCAGCTCTGAGTTCCCTCAGAAGAAAACAGGTAAAGAGAAAGGCCCCGAGCACCACCCATGGCAATGGGGCATGAGGGGGCCTGAACACCAGGGGGCCCCCCAGGCTGAGCACATCCATGGTGACTGCAGGAACTGGCACAGGGAGCAACTCTGTTGGGTGGCACTTTTGTCTTTACTTTCCATCGCATCCCTGGGGGACCATTTAAGCAGACACCTCCAGTTGCAAGTCAGGGACCCAGTGCCACTGCAAACAAGGCAGGCTGCACGTGCAAGTCTGGGCCAACCTCTGACCCTAGCAACCCCACTTCCCGCGTGGGCACAGCAAGGAGGAACCTGGCCTCTAAGGCTCCCTCGTGAGCTGTCAGGGGTTCTGCTGGACACACGTCCAATGGGCCATCGTCCAGCTCATCCTTCTCCACATCGGGCTTTTGAGCCCGTCATAAATTCCTTGCCTAGAGTGAAGTCCAGAAGAGTTTTCTCCTTCCAGTGTTTTTGTAGTTTCGTATCTTAACATTCAAGTCTTGGATCTATCTCGAGGTGATTTTTGTATATGCTGAGAGATAAGGGTCTGGGTTCATTCTTCTGCATGTGGCTATCCAACCCTCCCAGCACCATTCATTGAAGAGGGTGTCCTTTCCCCAGTGTGTGTTTCTGTCGGCTCTGTCAAAGATCAACTGGCTGTGAACATGTGGCTGTGTTTCTGGGTTCTCTCATCTGTCCCATTGATCTAAGTGTCTAGTTTTATGCTAGGATTATACTATTTTGGTAACTACGCACTTGTCAAACATTTTGTAGTTGTAATTTGCAGTGTAATGGGATGCCTCTAGTTTTGCTGTTTTTGCTGAGGATGACTTTGGGTCTTTGAGCTCTTTTTTTTTTTAGTCCTTTTTTGTGAATTTTAGGACTTTCCAATTCTGTGAGTGGTGACATTGGTATTTTGGTCGGGGTTGTATTGAATCTCTAGACTGCTTAGGGCAGTGTGGTCATTTTAATGCTATGAATTCCTACCATGAGCATGAAATGATTGTCCATTTCTTTCTCTCCTCTTAAATATTTTCTCAGTGTTTTGTAGTTTTCCTTGTAGAAATCTTTCACCTCATTGGTAAAATTTCTCCTGTGGCATATGTTTTTCCATTTTGTTGCTATTGTAAATGGGATTGCCTTCTTAATTCTTTCCCAACCAGACCATTATTGGTGTGTAGAAATGCTGCTGATTTTTGCTGTTGTTGTTGTTGTTGATTCTATATCCTGCAAATAGCTGTATTAATTTATTTATCAAGTCTAGGAGTTTTCTGGTGGAGCCTTTACATGTTTCTAGATCTAAATCACATCTCCATCAGACAAGGATAATTTGATGTCCTCTTTTCCAATGTGGATGCCTTTTACTGTTTTCTCTTGCCTGATTGTGCGATGTCGAATAGGAGTGGTGAGAACCGGCATCCTCATCTTGTTCCTGTTTACAGAGGAAAATGCTTTCAACTTTTCCCCGTTATGTAGTAGGTTAGCTATGGCTTTGCCATATACAGCTTTTATTGTTTTCACGTATTTTTTTTTAATTTTTGTTTTTTGAGACAGAGTCTCACTCTTGCTACCCAGGCTAAAGTGCAGTGGCATGATTTCGGCTCACTGCAAGCTCCACCTCTGTGGTTCACCCATTCTCCTGCCTCAGCCTTCCGAGTAGCTGGGATTACAGGCGCCCGCCACCACACCAGGCTAATTTTTGTACTTTTAGTAGAGATGGGGTTTCACCATGTTGGCCAGGTTAGTCTCAAACTCCTGACCTCAGGTGATCCACCCACCTCAGCCTCCCAAAGTGTTGGGATTACAGGCATGAGGCACTGCGCCCAGCCCGGCCATTTTCAGGTCTGTTTCTTCTATGCCTAGTTTGTTTGTTCCTTCTTTCAAGACGTGGTCTCACTCTGTCTTTCATGTTGGAATATAGTGGCACCATCAGAGCTGCAGGTTTGAACTCCTGGGCTTAAGCCACCTCAGCCTTCTGAGTAGCTGAGACTACAGGTGCACATCACCAGAGCAGGCTATTTTTTATTTTTATTTTTTTTTGTAGAGATCTCTGTTCCTCAGGTTGGCCTTGAACTGTTGACCTCAATTGATCCTCCCAGCTCAGCTTCCCAAAAGCACTGGGTGGACAAGCACGAGCCACCGCTTGGCGCAGAGTCACATTTTAACATCCCATCCTCACTGCTGGGCTCAAGTTTTGGCAGCGACTGAAAACCCTAAAGGAGAGTTTCTGGTCAGGCCCGGCCCAGTCTGTGCATAGGAGGGGAATGGAAAAGTGGCCCGTGGATGGTTCTTCTGGAGAACTGGCCAGACAAGCACTGAGATGCCATTTCGTGGAATACAGGGCTGTGTGATGTCCAGCCCAGCTGCCAGGTCCAGGGCCCTCGACACCATCTAGTTTGGGAGCTCACCCAGAAGTGGCCTTGGTTGCCCAAAGCAGCTGGCCTCCCTTCCAATCTGGTCCCATTTGAGAGATGCAACTGGGCCCCGTCTTCCAGGAAACATTTCAGTGTGTGCCTGTCTTTGTCCCCGCACTGGCTGGCCTCTCTGTACCGTGAGAACTTGGGTTATGCAAGGCTCTGCCAGTCAGCTGAGCATCACGAAGCAGCTCTCTTCTGTTCCAGTGAGGCCGACCAGGCTCCAACACCCCTGCCCCGGTCTGACCGTTCTCCCCCTCACCCGGAAGTGACCCCCAACCCGATCCTGCTCCCTGTCTTCTGGCAGCTGCTCTGGGGAAGGGCATTTTGGCCTCAAGGGCTGAGCGTGTCATTTTCTGTTTTCTGTTTATCTTTCCAGAGCTGTTTGGGACAGCCCATGTGTCAGTCCATGTACTGCTTCTTTGGAAGGCAATCGGGGCTTTCTTTCAGGGGTGGGTATAAAAGTTCTTGTGGCTGGGTGCAGTGGCTCACGCCTGTAATCCCAGCACTTTAGGAGGCCGAGATAGGCAGATCACGAGGTCAGGAGATGGAGACCATCCTGGCTAACATGGTGAAACTCCGTCTCTACTAAAAATACAAAAAAATTAGCTGGGCATGGTGGTGGGCACCTGTAGTCCCAGCTACTTGGCAGGCTGAGGCAGAAGAATGGCAAGAACCTGGGAGGCGGAGCTTGCAGTGAGCCGAGATCGCGCCACTGCACTCCAGCCTGGCAACCGAGCAAGACTCTGTCTCAAGAAAAAAAAAAAAACAAAACAGTTATTGTGACATTTGTGTATGAAATCAGCCTTTGCTACATGGATAGGACCAGCACGCTTCCGCGGCACGACTCTGCAATCTTACTTATCTTTTTTTTTTAAATTTTGTATTTTATTTATTGATTTCTTTTGAGACAAAGTATCACTCTGTTGCCCAGGCTGAAGTGCTGTGGCACAATCTCGGCTCACTGCAACCTCCATTCCTGGGTTCAAGTAATTCTCATGTCCCAGCCTCCCAAGTAGCTGGGACTACAGGTGCACATCACAACACCTGGCTAATTTTTGTATTTTTAGTAGAGATGGGGTTTTGCCACATTGGTGAGGCTGGTTTCGAACTTCTGACCTCAGATAATCAACCGGTCTTAACCTCCCAAAGTGCTAAGATTACAGGCATAGACTTATTTATTTATTTGAGATGGACTCTTGCTCCACTGCCCAGGCTAGGGTGCAGTGGCATGATCTCAGCTCACTGCAACCTCAGCCTCCCAGCTTCAAGTAATTCTCCTTCTTCAGTGTCCTGAGTAGCTGGGATTACAAATGCCCGTCACTGCACCTGGCTAATTTTTGTATTTTCAGTAGAAATGGGGTTTCACTGTCTTGACTAGGCTGATCTCGATCTCCTGACCTCATAATCCACCTGCCTTGGCCTCTCAAAGTGTTGGGATTACAGGCCTAAGGCACTGTGCCTGGTCACATTTATTTATTTGTTATATAGAGACAGTGTCTCTCTCTGTCACCCAGGCTGGTGTGCAGTGGCACCATGTCAGCTCACTGCAGCCTCTGCCTCTGGGGTTCAAGCGATTCTCATGCATCAGCCTCCCGAGTAACTTGGACTACGGGTATGTGCCACCAAGCAGGGATAATTTTTTCTATTTTTTTGTGGAGACAGGGTTTCACCATGTTGGCCAGGCTGGTCTTAAACTCTTGGGCTCAGGTGATCTGCCTTCCTCGTCCTCTCAAAGTACTAAGATTACAGGCATGAGCCACTGCTCCCGGCCTCTCACTACATTTAAATGATGCAGTGGTTCATGCCTGTAATTCTAGCACTTTGGGAGGCCAAGGCAGGTGGATCAACTGCGGTCAGGAGTTCAACACGAGCCTGGCCAACACGGGGAAACCTGTCTCTACTAAAAATACAAAAATTAGCCAGATGTGGTGGCATGAGCCTGTAGTCCCAGCTACTTGGAAGGCTGAGGCAGGAGAATCACTTTAACTGGGAGGTGGAGGTTGCAGTGAGCCAAGATCACACCACTGCACTGCAGCCTGGGTGACAGAGTGAGACTCCATCTCAAAATAATAATAATAATAAAATGCCTGATGCCAGGGCATCTCGGCCTGGGTGCCTGCACGAGCACAGCCATGTCCGGGCCAGGGCTGCTGGTCAAGGTCCAGCCCCATCTTGTCCAGCAGAAATGGAGCGAACTTGCCGGGCCCAGGCTAGGGTACAAGATCCCAGGATCTCAGCCTCTGCTCATGGATCAGCTCTGAGACCCTGAGTGAGCTGGGGGTGCTCTCTGCTCATTGGTTTCCCTGCTGTCAAGTAAAGGGATTGGATGAGGAAGTCTCATCAAGGTGGAATGATCCAGATTTGGGGCAGCAGTGAATGATCCCGCTCCCTGGGTCATGCCAGTGGTCCAGCCTCGGCTGAACACAGCCCCAACATCTGGAATGGGAATGAGGGGGCAGTCAACTCTTGCTCCTAGTAAGACAGATGCAATAGGGCTCTGTGGCTGAGCTGGGTGCATTTCCTTACACCTGTAATCCCAATCCTTTGAGAGGCCATGGTGAGAGGATTGCTTGAGGCCGGGAATTTTGAGAATAGCCTGGACAACATAGCCAGACCCCATGTCTACAAAATAAAAATAATCATAATAAAACAGGTCAAATGGCATACAGCTCTAGTCCAAGCTATTTGGCAGGTTGAGGCAGGAGGGTCCTTTGAGTCCTGGGATTGGAGGCTGCATTGAGCTATGATGGCACCACTGCACTCCAGCTTAGGTGACAAAGTGAGACCCTGTCTCTAAAAGAAAAAAAAAAATTGTCCTGTGAGCATGGGTTTGATTTTCTTTTTTCTTTTCTTTTTTTGAGATGGGTTCACGCCATTCTCCTGCCTCAGCCTCCTGAGTAGGTGGGACTACAGGCGCCTGCCACCATGCCCAGCTAATTTTTTGTATATTTTTGGTAGAGATGGGGTTTCACCGTGTTAGCCAGGATGGTCTCAATCTCCTGACCTCATGATCCGCCCACCTCGGCCTCCCAAAGTGCTGGGATTATAAGCATGTGCCTGGCCGGGTTTGATTTTCAAACAGGACCCGGAAGGTAGCAGACAGAGAGTGCAGTCACCCTTAGGTGCTGAACACTCAGAAATGGGCCAGCGGCAGCCCTCACCTCACCTGCAGACACCAGATTGGGCAGAACAGCACGTGGCACTCACAGCTCTTGCAACGAGAGCAGAACCCAGTGTGGACCCTTCTGCCTGTGGGAGGGGCTGCTGAGGCCTGCGGAGAGGCCAGACTGGAGGCTCGTCCCCTTGTCCAGCCCTTGGTGTGGTCTCTGCCAGGTCCCCAGTCCACCAGTGCAGGGCGCCCCTGAGCCTGCAGCTGCCATGGGCCTGTCTCTACCCAGGACGTCCCCACACCCTCGCAGTGTCAGGGAAATGGTCATGGTGGCGGTGACACTCCCCAGGCAGGACTGTTGAGAGAAGCTGAGAAGGGTCACACTGCAGGCAGGGGCCCGTGTGACAAGCCCCTCTCAGCCCGAGAGAGCTGACCAGGCAGCTCATGAGCAGAGCCACATCCTGAGAGTATGAGAAAGGTCCTGGCTGGGCTCAGCCACCTCACTGGCCACTGGCAACCTTTGTCGTGTGAGCCTTGCTCTCCTGGGGAGGCTGAGGCTGACGGCTGATGTGGGCATTGCTGAGGGTAACCTGTGGCCCAGTGGATGTGGCCGGGTCTCCTCAAGCTGCACTCAAAGGACCCAGGGTGCACGCCCATCTCCAGCCCAGGGCAGCTCCCCTGTAAGCTGGGTGAGCTACTGAAGCCAAGGCGGGAGGCGGCTAACAATACCTATGGCCCATACAGAGGTGGTGGAAAGGCTGGACTCAGCAGCAACACCAAATCCCGGACCAAGCAGAAACCACCCAAGACTGAAGGGCTCATGCCAGAGCAGTGGCCACAGGTAAGAACCCAGGCCCAGGCTGTGTTTGGTGGGAGTCCTTCCTGTCCCAGGGCTCAGCACAGCAAAGGAAGACCAGCTGGGTCACCCTGGAGGCCATCTGTCCCTGTCCCACCTGCAGAGTCAGAACAGCCTCTCCCCAGTGGGGATCATCTTTCTCTGCCAAAGCAACAGTGGTCCCTGCCCCAACCAGACTGCCCCACTCTGTGGAGTTACGGCTGCGGCTCCAGCGTCCTAACGCTGCCCAGCTGGCACTGCCTGTGCTCACCCACACCCCCCAGGCTGGCCTTCCCTGCAGCCTGGGCTTAGCCACCTTGGCCTGATTGAGCATTGAGGCCTCCTGGGCACCCAGCCCCATCACTGCACCTGCTGCTTCCAGCCCCACCCCACCGGCTCAGGGGTTCTTCCCAGCGGCGCTGATCATGAAATCAACATGCACGCAAGTCGTCTCAGGGAACTTTATTGAAAGTGTTGGCAGTTCTTTCCCCCACGGTGGTGCATAGGTGGCTGAGCTCAGATTGCAGCTGCTAAGACACCAGCCACTTACCGAGAGAAAGCCAGGCTGCTTCAAACCCAGGGCCCGAGGCAAAAAAGCATCACTTCTGGTCAGGGAATCTTGAAGCCATGCCTTGTGGGAGGTTACACTGGCATCTAGGCCTTTGCCTGCATTGCAGAAGGAGAGCCGGGTCCCCTCCTGGAGAATGCTGCATTCCCCATTCTGACCCTCCCTAACCTGCTCCTAAGATCAGTGCTGGAGAAATTTTGCAGACCCTGCACTTGATGGATCAGCTGGCACCATCCAGATGGATTAACTGGCTCATCTGATCTTGTGGCCCCCACCCAGGAACTGACTCAGCTCAATAAGACAGTTTCAACTCCCTTTGATTTCATCCCTAACCAATTAGCACTCTTGGCCCACTGGCTTCCCCCGACCCACCAAGCTGTCCTCACAAATTCTGCTCCTCAAATGCTCAAGGAGACTGATTTAAGTAATCATAAAAAAACTCCGGGCCGGGCACGGTGGCTCGCCCCTGTAATCCCAGCACTTTGGGAGGCCGAGGCGGGTGGATCATGAGGTCAGGAGATCGAGACCATCCTGGCTAACACGGTGAAACTCTGTCTCTAGTACAAATACAAAAAATTAGCCAGGCGTGATGGCAGCCGCCTGTAGTCCCAGCTACTCCAGAAGCTGAGGCAGGAGAAAGCCTAGGGAGACTCCGTCTCAAAAAAAAAACAAAAAAAAAAAACCAGACATAGTCTCACTCTTTTGCCCAGGCTGGAGTGCAGTGGCCTGATCTCGGTCCACCACAACCCCTGCCTCCCGGGTTCAAATGATTCTCCTGCCTCAACCGCCCAAGTAGCTGTGACTACAGGCGCGTGCCACCATGCCTGGCTAATTTTTATATTTTTAGTAGAGGTGAGGTTTCACCATGTTGGCCAGGCCGGTCTCCAACTCCCGATCTCGAGATCCGCCTGTCCCGACCTCCCAAAGTGCTGGGATGCATGAGTCACCACGCCTGGCCTCCTTTTTTTCTTTTCTTCTCTTTTTTCTTTTCTTTTTTTTTTTTTTTTTTTTTTTTTTTTTTTTTTTTTTGGTAGACGGAGTTTCGCTCTTGCTGCCCAGACTGAAGTGCAATAGTGCGATCTCAGCTCACTGCAATCTCCACCTCAGCAGGAGAGCAGGAATCTTCAGTGATCCACTGGCGGATCTGCAGCCATTGTGCACCCCTCCTCTTACAATGTCTTTTTTGTGCGCGCCTCTCCTTCCAGTACCTACTGCAGGAGCGTCCCCCAGCCTCCCGCCATTGCCAGCAAGTGCTGAGATCCGCCATTGCACTCCAGCCTGGGCGACAAGATCGAAATTCTGTCTCAAAAAGAAAAAAAAAAGAAAGAAAGAAAGAAAGAAAAAAAAGGATGAAAATTTTGGAAAAATATGGAAGAAACCGAATGGATTTCTAGTTCAACTAAATCGTAATTATTCAGTATCTATTTTTTGCAAGAAACCATGTATTTCATGTCCACAGTCAGGACCACAGTCTAGCTCTCAAGTGTGGGTGTTTCCTAAGCAAATTGAAGAACACAGGCATAAAAGTGCATTAAGTTCATAACCATTTACCTCTTTTTTGCTGTTGTTTTTAAGAGGGAGCCTGCCTCTTTCTGTTGTCCAGGCTGGAGTGCAGTGGCGCGATCTCGGCGCACAACCACCTCTGCCTCCCTGATTCAAGTGATTCTCCTGCCTCAGCTGCCTGAGTAGTTGGGACTAGAGGCGCGTGCCACCATGCCTGACTAAATTTGTATTTTTAGTAGAGACTCGGTTTCACTATGTTGGCCGGGCTGGTCTCCAACACCTGATCTCCGTGATCTGTCCGCCCGACCTCCCAAAGTGCTAGGATTAGAGGCATAAGCCACCACGCCCGGTCTCTTTTTTTCTTTTTTTTTTTTTTATTTTGGGATGGAGTTTTGCTCTTGTTGCCCAGGCTGGAGTGCAATGGTGTAATCTCAGCTCACTACAATCTCCACTTCAGCGGGAGAGCACCACCTGTGGTGGTGGTTTTACCACCACACAGGCTTTTGAGGCAGGAGCTGTAAACCCAAAGCGACCATCAGCTCTGGGGCCCTGTGGGAGAGGAGCACTTTTAGAACATGGAAAAGTGTGGTCATCCCATCATTAGACAGCACACATCCTACATAAATAAAAAGTCGCACGGGGAAGGAGGTTGGGGAGGGAACAAAAAATTGGTACAGACACTGATAGATTGGTTTCCAGTTTCAAGGCGACAGATGCACATCATGAGACCAGAGGAGACCAAGACAAGGGCTGGATTTGGCTTTTCTAAGAAAGATGTGTTTCCTTGCAGGGCTGGATGGTCACTGAGACAGAGATGGAAGCCAGGACAGGGGAGCTCACAGGGCCCAGATAGGTACAGAGAGCAGAGGCTCCTGTTCTGTCCTCACCACCCATGAGGGTGACACTGCTTGCAAATGGTGGCCGTGCTCTCCCAGCAAGAAAAAAGCACAACAAAATCCACACCGCACACAGACACGGACAGAAAACCTTCAAATGACTCTGTTTTCTGCTCCCTGCCTCACCAGGTCCACAAGCAGAGAGGAGTGTCAAGTGCACGGCCCCGCTGTCAGCCTCCCCGATGAGCTGCAGGCTCAGCAGGAGCTGCCCATTGACACACAGGGGAAACCCACTGCTTCCACCTTGGGAGCAGTCACCAGACAGAGCCACACTGGGTGCTGGTGTCATCCAGGGACCCCACACACTCTCTTGAATTCGATCCTGCTTCCCTCTGGGCAGCTGCGTCCTTTCCTCCTGCAGGACCGTCTGGAAACTCGGCTCTGCTCTCCCTTCTCTCCTCTCTCTGCCCCAAAGCCCTCTTTCTAAAAAAGTGATGCAGTGTTCATGGGGTTATTTCTTGAAAATACTTGGCGGCCTCCACGCTTCCGTTTTCTTTGAGCCAGGTGGTCAGGAGGATTTACAAAGAATGCCTGGGCTCCCCCGCAGGTGCCGGCAGAGGGGGTAGCGATTGGTCCTGTGCCTCCACCTGCTCTGGGAGGGAATCTTCCATCTCTAGGACTGGCCCCTTCCTAACCCTCCATGTATCCTGTTCTCCAGACTTCGGAACCCCACTCCTAAGAGCAGTGGGGCCAGGCGCTTAGAGGAAGAGCAAATGCTGCCAGGACACGGATTATCCCCAGAGTACATTCCAGCATTGTATTAAGTATCTGGATCTGTTAGGAAAAAAAAAAAATTAGAAACTATGCATAAAACTTGAAAATATTCAAGTATCAAAAGGTTATTTAGGATTAAAGTTTTAAAACAAGTCATCAGCAAGCTGCTACCACCAAGTGGAGACTTTTACAAAAGTTGAGCGAGTCTGCTGAGCTGAGAGGACAGAAATGAAGTCACCTGTGCTGGGGCAGGGGCAGGGACACCTGGGGCAGGGAGTGTGTGGGCAGAGAGAAACCAGAGAAGTCCAGGTCTGTGGAAGCCAAACAGGAGAGCGTGCGCCGGAAGGGCGGTCAGGATCCGGGCACAAGGTCGCTGTTCCTGGAGAACGAACCCTAAAGTGCGTAGCCTGGGACTCCCTCCCTGGGGGTCCTGTCCCCCAACATTTCACAGGCCTCCTGGAGCTGCCTTCCAAGGAGGACAAACATGGCAACAAAAGACCCATTTCTGCACAACAATCCTTCTGGAAAGAAAAAGAAGCCAAGAATGGAGTTAAAACGCTACCCAGTGCTGACTAAGCCTCTCAAACCCTGTTCTAAATGGAGTGTGGTTTCTAAGTCAGGGAAATGGAAGAGGCCCTACCCACACAGGGACAGGGCCATGGCCCCACAGGATGAAGCAGCAGCGTTTATTCAAGATACAACAGTGAGGGAATCTGATCACATGCCCTTCTCCCTTGAGAGGGCGTATCTTGACAAGTGATCCAGTAGAAACCTTTTAAACTCTATAAGTTAAGTTCATAAAAACCACTGTCTTCACCCTGTCTCCCAGGGCCAGGCCTGGACTCTCAGATGCACTGGTTTGGCACGCCCTCAGGTGGCCACATAAAAAAAAACACAGTCTGAGGGCAGCCTGGGGTTTTCAGACTTGGGTGGGATCTGCCAAGGCCAAATGTCCTTCTGCTTTGGGCCGCTGTCTCTTGGCAGACGGCCTGACACTGAGGCCCAAGGATGCCTCAGAAAATCTTGATTCCCACTCTATGGATGGCCTGATTAGCCAGAGGTTTCCAGGCTGTCTGTCCACCTCCTGGAGATGGACTGGGGCCTTTAGACTTCAGTGGAGAAGGGGATGCTCTGTCTCTTGCTGTCCGGGGCAGGGATGGCCTCCAGCTGCAGGAAGTACAGCAGCACCTGGACCTGCCCGGGCAGAGTGGGGAAGAGGAGAGCGGCTCAGAGGGGGGCTCACAGCAGCTGGTGGGGAGGTCTTTGGGGCGTAAGCCTCCAAGTCCACCTCAGGTGCTGGAAACCCCTGCTGGTGTCATGAACCCCTTACAGTGAGACGGGGGTGGGGTGGGGTCCTGACAAGGCATGACTTGGTAGGGGGGTGTTTATTTTAGAGATGCACAGGGCCTTGCTCTATCCCCCAGGCTGGAGTGCAGTGGCTCCATCATGGATCTCTGCAGCCTCTAACTCCTGGGCTCAAGCGATCCTCCTGTGTCAGCCTCCTAGGTAGCTAGGACTACAGGTGTGTGCCACAATGCCTGGCTAATTTTTCTTTGTATTTTTTCTAGAGATGGGGATTGCTACATTGCCCAGACTGGTCTCAAACACCTGAGTTCGGTTATCCTGCCTTGGCCTCCCAAAGATTACAGGCATGAGCCACCACACCCGAACACTTGAGGTGATTTTAAGCTTCCAGCAAAGTGCACCAGCAGGACCAGGAGGTGGCCTGGGCTCCCCCGCATCACTCCCATCCATGCAGACCTAGGCAAGTCCCTCTCTCTGGATCTCTGCCACCACTACATACAATGCAAGTAGAAAGTTGGGCAGGACTGGGGGTGGAGAAGGTAGAGGTCACGTCTGTCAGGCTGGGTGGGCTGGAGCCTGTCTTCCCATACCTGGGACATGATCTCCAAGGACCAGCTGTCAGTCATGATGATGGGCTGGCTTGGATTGGCAGGGAGCTTGCTCTCCTTCTCGGAGGGCCGGAGCAGTGTGGGGCCAAAGACAGCGGTGAGGTTGTACAGGGACATCTTATTGACTGCCTCCTTCTCTGCCATACTGTAGAGGACTGAAACAGTGGGTGCTGTTTCAATACCACCACCGAGAGAGACAGAGGGGCTGTGCCATGCTGGAGTCCTCAGGAAGGGAGTGACGTCGACCTTGGCTGTGCTGCAAGCTGACTCCAGCCCTGGTACTTCCGAGTCTCAGCGGCCCAGGAAAAAGGGCCAGCTCTGGGCTAGTGGGGAGGTCTCCTCTGTGATGTGACTGGGAGGGAAGAGGGTGGTTCAAGTGCACTGCTGGCCATGGCCAAAGCTCTGAGTTCTTTGTTAAGGCCACAGTGCAGAGGGAGGAGCGTGGCAAAGAGGAGAGGCAGGGGCAGGGGTGGCAGTGCTGCTAGTCCTTAGAGGCAGTAAGTGACTGCAGACAGGGGTCGGGGGAAAAGGTCCTCAGTCTGGAGGTCTGGTGGGAGCAGAGGGGCACCCCATGGCCTGGAGACCTGGAGCCCCCCGCAGCCATGGGAGAGCTGGGCTACCTTTTCAGGTGGTCCAGAAGGAAAAGGAAGGTGAGCAGGTTGGCCTCCGGCAGGGACAGCAGCAGGTTGAGCGTGCAGCTCTCCTTTGCAACTGGGTCTGAAAGAGCTGCAGGAGGCGATGGGTTACTCTTCTGGGTCACAACCAGCCAGAGACCTCTCCCGAGGTGGTCACATGGAGCACCTGGGACATGAGTCTCTGCGCAGTTTAGGCCCGTCATCATCCCCACACCCACAGTGCTGGCTCCCAGTGAGGACCCTGTGAGGGGCACCTGTGTGGGATGTGAACCACCTGAACATCTTTTCTCTACCTCACAGGGGTCAGCAGCACCCAGCAAACAGCAGCAGGAGGAGCCGTGAGAACAGCCACTCATGGGCAGAGCTGCCCTTGGGCAACTCCCGCCACCACCCCCTCCCCAGGGGAGCCCAATGCAGGGGAGGCTTGGCGTGGAATGAAACAGGGGAGTGAGGGACACAAGGAGGTGGGAAGTGGGAGGGGGCCCCAGCCCCACCAAGTATGCAGAGACTCCCTCATCGTCCTGGACACCACAGGGTCATCTGCATGCTGGGAAAGCAGGTCTTCTGTGCATGGGCCTGGGGGCAGACCTGCCCTAAGGGTCATGTGGAGACTACAGGTGCTGCACGTGTCAGCGCCCGCTTTAGACATCAGCCTGCAGGTTGACTAAGGGTCAGGCCATGTTTGAACCCATGCTTGACTGGACCAGGACCCGTGGCCAGAGCACCTGGTCACCAGTGTTTAGCCCTGGTCTGCAGGAAGGAGGACAGCAGATTTTAGGACACTGTAGCATGACAGTGCTGACCATTTCACCCTCTTGGTCTCCTTGAGGAATAGGGATGGGGAGCCCTCTGGGGATGGGCGAGGTCTTCCAGGACAGGCTTGATTTTGGTCCCCTGCTTTCTGAGGTTGGGTTAAAACACCATGGCAGAGGGGGCACAGCTCGGGTTCCCACACATCACTTTTCACAGCCTCCAATGGCAGCAGTGCACGTGGAGGAGACGTCTCCCACAAGGCCAAGGCCTCCAGTGCTCACCGATGCCCTCGGAGAAGTTAGGGTAGAACTCGTCAGTGAAGAGGGGCTCGGGCAGCTCACGGAAGTACAGCTTCAGCATGCCTGCGATGCCATCCACGTCCATCTCGCTCATCATCACCGACACGTCCTTGTTATCTGGAAAAAGCACGGAAATGCCGCGGCCTCCTTCAGGATCCCAAGTGAGTCTCCCACCATCCCAGCCTTGGCTAAAGCACTATCCCTGCCACGCTGACCACTGTGCAGGTCCCTCCTGGGCTTTGAGCAGCTCATCTGACCCCTCCCAAGAGCTGTGCGTAGTTCTGTGTCTGCAGAGTTGATGGGGCTGCATGGGCATTCCCATTCCTCTCCCCTGCTTGGCCCGATGTGACGGCCAGGAGGAGGCCAGCACGGCAGGACACAGTGCCTGCGTGGGAATTGGGTGACTCTGCCCTGTACATAGCAACCACCCCTGCACCAGTGTCTTCTGATGGCAGGAAGGCTGTGGGAGAATCTGATTGGTTTCAGTGTTTGAACCGGTGTCTTCCTTTGGACCCAATTGGTCACTGGTGCTTATGTCCTCACCATAGGCCAGGTCTATTCTGGGCCCCCAGAGTGAGCTGAAACCACCACAGGGCCCTCCCAGGGGTGCTGAGCATTCTAGGGGTCCTGGTCAGGGTCGGTGGTGAGTGCTGCACAGAAGGGTCTGCAGGCACAAAATCCTGTTGCTTTGAGGATGCTGGAAAGGACCCTCTGGGGTCTCGGTGCCCTCCCCTGGCATTTGAGGCAGGTCCGGGTCCTTCAAAGCCCGTGAGGGTTTGTGAGATGGAGGCAGAGATGCTACAGCCCCGGCCTGAGCTGGGTCCCATCAGTGCCCTCTTCACACCGCATCCTCACACAGGGCAGTGGACAGACCACACTGAGTCCTGGGCTTCCACCTCCTGTCCACCCCCAAGGCAGGAAGGCCAAGGCCCCACAGAAGCCCCTGGTTCACCCCAGCAAGTGGCATGAGTGGGTACGATGGTGTAAAAACTGGCTTCTATAGAAGCTTTTTCTACAACTCTTGTTTTCTCTTTTTTAAAAATAATAAAACAGTAAATGAAGAAAAGACACAGCGAAGGATGTGACATGCCCGGGCCATGGAGCGCTCTGAGATCTCATCGCCAACACCACCGCCCACACCTCCATCCCGTCCTGCGCAGGCCGACACTCACTGACGTCGAAGGCTGCCTTCAGTGCCTGGATGTCCGTGGCCACTCCGGACACGCGGTAGATGCCCACCTCCTCCATGCCTCGGCGCTCGAGCTCCTCCATGCACTGGCGTACGACGTAGGGCACCTTGGACCTCTGTCTCCTGCGGGAGGAGGAAATGTTCTCAGTGTCCTGACAGCCCTGCTTAGGCCACAACACAGGAGGCCTGCCCCCTCTCTGCATACCTGGAGGTGGGGTGAGGACAGTGACAAAGGCGCCCAGGTCTAGGGCTGCACACAGAGCCTTCTGCATGTCTGTGCTCCCTCTGCAAGCCCTGTCCTCATTGCATGTACTTTCTCAGGAACCTGTCAAGCAGCTAGAACCCTTGAGAGTCACACATGATCTTTGTGGGAAGGTCAGGAGGCCTGTCTAAGTAAAGTCAGAACAGGAAGGGCATCTGACAGATTCCAGGCCTGGGGTTAGCAGCCTGTGCCATCAGCTGGGGGATCAGACCCAGTGTTGGTCCTGCCACCCGCGCTCTGTGTGAGAGGAGAATCCCTGACCCCTGCCCTGGGCCTGGGCCTTAACACACATCCGAGGAATGAATGAAGGGTTGCCTCAGCACCAGTGCTCCAAGTCCTGTGATGCTACGTGCTTTTCTCCTCTGAGTCCTAGCACTGAACAATTCCAATACCGCCACACAGGACACTAGAGTAAGAATACTTCAAAGTAAGCGCTGTGCTGAGGCTTTAAATTTACTTTCATTTTGCAACTAGATTTACCAGCACATCCAAGCTGCTTCTCAAGCCACCCTCATTAGCAGTGGTTATTTGGGGGAGCTGCTGCTGGGGTCCTCACTGCTCATGCCCAGAGCCCTCCCAGAGTGCTATGCAAGTGGCTGCTGTGCAGTTGGGGGTGGGGAGTGGTGTTTATACACAGAAAGGAGTGCAGGGTATGATTGATGGAGGCCCCGGCCTACAGGACCGGCAAGTTCAGGGACCCAACTGGATTCCATCCTGGGGAAGCAAATAAATTCTCAGAGGAAGTGGTCTGTGTCTGCAAGAACTGCTCTCAAACCCAACAGGCTTCTCTTGGCAACTGACTCGTGACAAAGGGTTCAAGATCATTTGAAAAAAAAAAAAAAAGGGGGGGAGCCGGGAGGCAGTGGGTCCTGGAAAAGTAAATTGTTTATTTTACAGTAAGAAAGTGATTAAATATATATTTTTTTTACAATGGTGGAAAATTAGAAGTGATTGTGAAAATGATGTCTACCCACGTTGCTGATGAGTAGGATGTGATTTGGCTCTTTAGGAAAGTGAATTTGTAGAACTTAAGAATATTGATTTATAAAGGGCATGGCCTTTGACCCAGTCCATCTTATGCAAATCTGGATGCCATAAATAATATTTAAAAATAAAAGTATTGGGGTGGAGGTTGCAGTGAGCAGAGATCACGCCACTACACTCCAGCCTGGTCGACAGAGTGAGACTCTGTCTCAAAACAAACAAACAAACAAACAAAAATAAAGAAGTCATTCCCAATGTTGCTCATCAGATTATGACCATAAATATCCAGGATCAGACTAATGGCTAAAGAGACGGTGACGCATCAACACCAGGCAGAGAACAAAGCAGATTTTTTTTTTTTTTGGAGAGCCTCTAGGAACTTGAAAAATACATATGCCACACTCTTAAGACCCGGTGGTTCTTAATCAGGGGTGTTCATTAAAATGCTGGAAAGCTGAAAAGACTTCCAGGTCCCATCCAAGGAGATTTTGCTTCTGATTGACTGGCTAGTGGCCTGGCCATTGGTATTTTGAAAAAGCCCTCCAAGTGATTCTTTTACTTACACCCCAGATAGAAAACCCCAAATTAAAGGTAGAAAAAAACCAGACACCAAATGGCATTTAAATAAATGTCAACTTTAATGCCACAAAGCATCTGATTGCATGTGGACAGAAAGAGAAGGAAAGAGGGTGCTATATCTGGATAACTTAGAAATGTGCTCCCCTAGCAAGATATCTACCAAAATTAGAACCATATTTGAGGATGCTGGTACTGCGAGCAATATATAAATGATGCATGTAATGCCATTTAATATGATCGTATTTTAAAAAATGAGTTGAGTGGTGTTTTCTAGCTGTCAGTTTTTCCAAATATCAATATAGAAATTAGTCTTCTGCAGCTGCAGAGGCAATTCAGTTTCCAGCTTGCTTGCATGTGGCCTAGAGCCATAACGTGGCCCAGAGCATCTCTGATCCACCCCTCCCACAACCACCAAAGCCAGAGACAACCGAATGCCTTGGACCATCTGGTGAGAGATGTAGCTTGTGTAAGAGTCCTGCTGTGAAGTGACAAGAGACTCAAGGCCTAGTTTTGACTTACTGCTAACTTGCTGACACTGCACACTTCCTGAGTGATCTTGGGTGAATCCTTTCACCTCTCTGAAGTTCACTATGAAATGAGAGGTCAATGGTCAAACTTAAACACCTTCAGATGTTGGATAATATCAGTGAGTAAAATGGACCAGGCACAGCACAAAGCGGAAGGGTGCAGACTGTGGCAAGTTGAAAACTTATGCCTCTGTAAAGGGGGCAGCCACCACTCAGTTCCTGCAGATTACTCTAACTTTGCTGAGGACAGTTGCCCAGGTAGTGCACTACAGAAGGGTAACACTTTAGAGGGGGTGTCATTTGCATCATAGATGCAAAATTCACAGGTGAAGACTGATGTAGTTTGTCCCTAAAGTTTTGCTTTGATTTGCAGATATTTATCTATGGCAGTTTCCTGGAAGATGTCTATAGAAGATTTTGAGGAATGGGCACCTTGTAATTTGCTATTAAACTAAACCCCAAGGGCCCATTATAAGCCAGCACGGTCCTAGGGATTCCACACTCATTCAGTTCCTTTTCATCATAGGAGGTGGGTATTTTAATATCAGGTCCACTATAAGAGGTGGAGGCCGGGCATGGTGGCTCATGCCTGTAATCCCAGCACTTTGGGAGGCCTACGTGGGCAGATCACTGGAGCCCAAGAGTTTGAGACCAGCCTGGGCAACATGGTGAAACTCTGCCTCTACAACACATAAAAAAATTATCCGGGCTTGGTGGCATGTCCCTGTAGTCCCAGCTACTCAGGAGGCTGAGGTGGGAGGATTACTTGAGCCCGGGAAGTCAAGGCTGCAGTGAGCTCAGATTGCACAACTATACTCCAGCTTAGGCCACAGAGCAAGACCTTGTCTCAAAAAATAAAACAAAACAATAGAAAGAAAGAGAAAGGAACAGATCAATATGTACAATAAAGTACCATTTGTATTTTTTTTAAAAAGCAAAAGAACATATTTATTTGGATATTTGTTTATATTCATAAACTATCTCTAGAAAGATACCAAGAAACTGAATATATTTGGTTGCATCTGAGAAACTACAGGAATAGGGATGGGGTTGAGATGGCGCCTTTTGAATTTTGAAATATAAAAATGTGTTGTCTATTTAGAAATAAATGGGCTAGGCGTGGTGGCTAGGCCAGGTGTGGTGGCTCTCGCCTGTAATCCCAGCACTTTGGGAGGCCAAGACTGGCGGATCACTTGAGGTCAGGAGTTTGAGACCAGCCTGGCCAACGTGATGAAACTCAGTCTCTACTAAAAATATAAAAATGGCCAGGCGTAGTGGCTCACCTCTGTAATCCTAGCACTTTGGGAGGCTGAAGCGGGAGGATTACCTGAGGTCAAGAGTTTGAGACCAGCGTGACCAACATGGAGAACACCCATCTCTACTAAAAATATAAAATTAGCCTGGTATAGTGGTGCATGCCTGTAATCGCAGCTACTCAGGAGGCTGAGGCAGGAGAATTGCTTGAACCCGGGAGGTGGAGGTTGTGGTGAGCTGAGATTGTGCCATTGTATTCCAGCCTGGGCAACAAAAGTGAAACTCTATCTCAAAAAAAAAACACAAAAAAACCAAAACAAACAAACAAAAAAACCCACAAAAATTAGCTGGGTGTGGTGGCAGGTGCCTGTAATTCCAGCTATTCGGGAGGCTGAGGCATGAGAATCGCTTGAACCTGGGAGGCGGAGGTCACAGTGAGCCAAGATCAGGCCACTGCACTCTAGCCTGGGCAACAGAGTGAGGCTCAATCTCAAAAAAAATGATAAATAAATATTATTAAGACAAAAATCACGACGACATTACATAAACCAGGTTATGCCAGTGATTTTTGAAAATATCAAAACAGTTTTATAGAAAAATATAACTTCAGGCCAAGTGAGGTGGCTAACGCCTGTAATCCCAGCACTTTGGGAGGACGAGGTTGGTGGATCACCTGACCTCAGGAGTTCAAGACCAGCTTGGCCAACATAGTAAAACCCCAACTCTACAAAAAATACAAAAATTAGCTGGGTGTGGTGGCTCACGCTTGTAATCCCAGTTACTCAGGAGCCTGAGGTAGGAGAATCACTTGAACCTGGGAGGCGGAGGTTGCGGTGAGCCGAGATCGCGTGACTGCAGTAGAGCCTGGGCAACAGAGAAATTCTGTCTCAAAAGAAAAATATAACTTCAAAAAAAATGAAGTAGGAAGAAACAGAAAAGTTTGTCTAGATCTAGAACCATTAAAAGAATTGAAGGTTTATTTTAAAATCTGTATCCCATCCCTTCAAAAATCTCACAAAAAACAAAACCAAAGAAAAGCACCTGGCCCAGATGATTTTATAGACAAGTCCAGCAAACATTAAAAAGAACATGAAGTTTTTATCTTCTACATAATTTTTAAAAATTAATTAATTAATTAATTTTTGAGATGAAGTCTCACTCTGTATCCCAGACTGGAGTGCAGGGGCATGATCGCGGCTCACTGCAACCTCCACTTCGGAGGTTCAAGCGATTCTCCTGCCTCAGCCTCCAGAGTAGCTGGGATTACAGGTGCACCCAGCTAATTTTTTGTATTTTTAGTAGAGATGGGGTTTCACCATATTGGCCAGGCTGTTCTTGAACTCCTGACCTCAGGTAATCTGCCCACCTCAGCCTCCCAAAGTGCTAGAATTACAAGTATGAACCACAGTGCCCAGCCTATATCATCTTTCAGAAAAAGAAGCAAATGGAATTCTCCCCAACTCATTGTGAATTTAGTGTAGGCTTAATACCAAACCAGACATCAATAGTACAAGGAGGTAAAAGTATAGACTAACTTCTTATGGACATATATGCAAAAATGCTAAATAAAATATTAGCAAATAATCCAGCAATGGATTAAACATGTATCACGACCACGTTGTCGTTTTTAGGAAATTAAGATGATGTAATAAAAGAAAAAACTATTAAAGTAGTACAAACTATCAAAGGAAAAAAACCTGTATGATCATTGCAACGGGGTCATTTGTGACATCATATAATTTTTTTTCTTTTTTTTTTTTAAGTTTTTTGACTGTAAGTTTATTCAATGCAAAATAATCCTTTTCAATTTTACTGAGGTGGCTGACTGCGTCCACGACCAAATCCGCCTGTAAACTGGAATTCGGTTGTTGACCCAGTCCCAGCCTGGGCTTTCTTGTCAGCACCAGGAGGCACAGCACTCCCTCTGTATGTATCTCTGTCGGCTTCCCCTCTTGTGAGTCTTGCAGGTCGCTCACCCTCCAGACCTTTAGGACTAGGCCTGCCAGTCCCTGGACGGCTGCAGTGTAGGGTGGCAGGCACAATCTCCGGGGGCAGATGAAGATAATCACGAAGATACTGGATACCCTCATTGATAAGGTACCAGTAGAAATGTCTCCAGGCAAACTGTTCCTTCATGTAGTAGCCTCCGGACTTGAAAGACTGCATGGCCTTCATGACATGAACGTTGAGCACATTCTTTTTTTTTTATTTGAGATAAGTCTCACTCTGTCGCCCAGTCTGGAGTGCAGGGGTGCGATGTTGGCTCACTGCAACCTCCGCTCCCTGGGTTCAAGCAATTCTTCTGCCTCAGCCTCCCGACTAGCTGGGATTACAGGTGTCTGCCACCGCGCCCAGCTAATATTTTTGTATTTTTAGTAGACACGGGGTTTCACCATCTTGGCCAGGCTGGTCTTGAACTCCTGAACTCGTGATCCGCCCACCTCGGCCTCCCAAAGTGCTGGGATTACAGGCGTGAGCCACCGCGCCTGGCCGGCCACATTCTTATCTGCCAGTTCCAGGTGCTTAGGCAGGTGGACATCCTTCTTGACCACGGTGACTTCCTCCTTAAAAAGGAGTTCATAAATGGCAAGCCTCTTCTTAGGCATAAGCATTCTGGGGAGGAGCAGCCGCTAAGGCGGCAGGGTGGTCCGGATGGGGGGCCGATGGAACTCGAACTCTACCAGAATTTCTTTAATATTATATATATATATTGCTCGCTTATTTGTCTGTTCCTTATGTACCCGGAGCGCCAGTAGGACAGGGCTTTGTGTTTTCCTCACCACTGTCTGGCTCATGCCTAGGACAGTCCTTGGCACACGGTAAACACGCTGAGGAGCGCCTTTGGGACTAGCTGACTCTAAGCATCATTCCGCAGGGTCCAGTGGGGCCTCTGAAGCGACCGGTCTTGCCAGGCTCCAGCCCAAGACCTAACGCATGCGCACCGGCTGGCCGGCTATTTTTTTTTTTTGTTGAGCGACCGAGTAGCAGGGCGCCTGCGCGACCCAGTGCCGGAGGAACGCGAGCTAGAGATTGGGGGGACAGCAGCGCCTGCGCAGTGAAGGAATGTGGGCGGGGCTCACACGGCGCCTGCGCAGGCGGCCGCAGGCCCGCTGGGCGCGAAGGGGCGGGCCAAGGGCGGGGGCCGCGAGGGAGGCAGGGCGGGCCCGGCAAACGGCGCCGCGGGGTTGGCTGCTGCCCTGAGGCCGGACTCAACGGGTCTCTGCTGAGCCACCGGGTGAGCTCTCCGCCCAGCCCAACCAGGAGATTGCGAGAGAGCGATGCGGTGCTGCGCGGTAAGAGTCACGGCCGGGTTCCCGCAGTGTTCGCTGGCGGGTTGGTTTATCGCCTCAGCGCCGCCCGCGCGGCCGCGCCCGGGCGTCCCCGCAGACCCCGGCAGGCCCCGCGCCTGCGCCGTCCCTACTCCTGGGCCCCTCCAGTGTGTCCCGCGCCTGCGCCTTTCTCTTCCCGCGCCGTCCTCATTCTGGGCTCTGGGGCTCTTGGGACTACCCGCAGCCTTCGCCGCGCAGACCCACGGGCCTCCGTCCGTTGGTGTTGGGGTTCATCTGGTTCTGCGACCCTGCTTGCGGCTCGTCTGTGTGCTGACAGGTCGGGTGCGACCCTCGTGCTTGCCTTTCGGGCGCTACAGGAGAGACTGGGGCTGCCGCCCCATCTCCTGGGTCCCCTGCCTGGGGCGGGGACGGCGTTGTTCAGTGGCCCCAAGGGCGCAGCGCGGGCAGCAGGAGCCGCGGGCGGCGGACCCCGGGCCTGCTGCGGGTGCTGCTTCTGCTGTGGCCGGCGCCCCAGGCGGACGGAACGTCCTTTCTTCTTGAGAGGAGGTTAATTGCATCAGGTTGGATATGAATAATCCGGTGCCTGGCTGAGGAATTTTGCGTTTCCAGGAATTTGGTAATTGTAGTACCTTAAGTAGTTAAGTCTAAGACATCATAGTCACCCGGCACGTTGGGCAAGCTGTCCTGGAGATGACGAAAAGAAATCAGTTTCCAGTAGTTTTAGCACATTTACAGAACACGCAAAAATTCTGTGATCATTCAAATGCAGGGAACCTTGATTTGTTGATGTCCTTGATCATTTGTCCCAAGTACAGGAAGGGCGAGGAAAAGATTCCCGTGAATACTGCCCAGGTGATTTCAGGGAACAGTGTTTTCTTTTGTCCAAAGAGCCTCTTAAGCCATTGATAATATTTCCCAAGCTCATAACAGATACAAGCCTTTAAAAAATGACGATTGCTCTAACCCAGTAGGACACATCTTGCGATGAAATCAGAGCTATAGGCTTTGTAGACAACAGCAGTCATTTCTGGTGGCTTCGGGGAGTAGAGGGGGACTGCAGTTTTGCCAATATAGGTGATACCAGAGGGACTTTAGTAATTTTTTCTTCATAATTAAAAACCAAGCCAGGCGCGGTGCCTCACGCCTGTAATCCCAGCACTTCCGCAGGCGGGGGCCAGCGAATCACCTGAAGTCAGGAGATCAAGACCAGCCTGACCAACATGGTGAAATCCTGTCTCTACTAAAAATACAAAAATTAGCCGGGCGTGGTGGCACGCGTCTGTAATCCCAGCTACTCAGGAGGGTGAAGCAGGAGAATCGCTTGAACCGGGGAGATGGAGGTTGCAGTGAGCCATTTTGCGCCACTGTACTCCAGCCTGGGCGACAGAGCCAGACTCCGTCTCAAAAAAACAAAAACTAGACATAACAAGGCAGAGCGTGGTGGCTGACGCCTGTAATCTCAGTAGTTTAGGAGGCCGAGGCGGGCAGATCACTTGAGGTCAGGAGTTCGATAACAGCCTGGTCAACATGGTGAAACCCCGTCTCTACAAAAAATGAAAAATTAGCCGGGCGTGGTGGCACATGCTTGTGATCCCAGCGGCTCGAGAGGCCAAGGCAGGAGAATTGCTTAGGAGGCAGAGGGTGCAGTGAACCGAGGTCTCGCCACTGCATTCCACCCTGGGCGACAGAATGAGGCTCCCTCTCAAAAAAGGAAAAAAACCCCAAAACACAGCCATTACATTATACATGTATGTTATAAAATAAACCAATATAGAAGGGTATATAGTGAAAGGAGAAGAACTGTTGGTAAAATTGTTTCTATGAATAAATGGCTAATCCAGTGTTTTTTCCTCCAGAAAAACACCTTTTCCCCTTTGATTTAGTGTACACCACACAGAGTCGCTTAGCCGACTCAGCGACTTTTTAGATAGCTGGAGAATGCTTCCTAATGGTTGCAGGTGTGTAGGGATTTTCTTGACATTTTCAGTAAGAAAGTGAATGCTGTGCCATAGGAAAGCTTTATCACTGGTGCACGTTGGCAGCCAACCAAATACTTGAGTGTCAAGTATGGTATCTAGTGATTGGAGAATAACCGTAATAATTTCAATTACAGTTGTAGTTAAAGTGAAGTTTGTATCAAAATTTCTGTTTTAAACATGAACTTTTAGGAGGTGTATCTGCAGTGTTTCCTCCTCAGATGTGATTTGTCTGAAGCAGTGGTTCTCTATAACTGACTTGACTCACAATGCATCTGATATTTCGAATGATTTAAGTGATAGTATCAAAATTACTGTCGTATACATATTTAAATCACATGACTAACCTGCGTGTGGTATTATGCAAACTGCTCAGCTCAGTAAGGGAACAGAAATAAGAAAAAAAGGACAATATTGGGAGTCGTTTTATACAATTAAATTTATTCGATTGAAGGACTGTCCTTTCTAAAAAAGAAGTCCTACTTTCTTGGTGTTAAAATAAAGCATCTTTTATGAAATGATGGTGATAGTAAATGGTGATATATGGTAAATGTAAGTAGCAAATACAAGGTTAGTTATTGTGATTTTTAAAAATAAAGAGAGCAAAGAGTCTCTTGTTTTGCTGCTGTTAGGGAGTTCAGGAAAAAGTTCCTGGGGCTTTTGCTTTTAAGAAGATACAAATTTAGATTATTTCTTTAGAGTAAATATGAGTTTATTTCGAGGTCATTTGTCACAGTCTACTGAGAAATCCATTGAGAAAGCTGTTAAGTTTGCCTGGCATTAAAGATGTTCCTATTCTGATCATTGTTAAATAGATCTTTTCTTATTAGATATAAAATGTCAGGAGATATTTTATTTTGAGACAGAGTTTCACTCTTGTTGCCCAGGCTGAAGTCCAATGGCTTGATCTTGGCTCACCACAACCTCCACCTCCCGGGTTCAAGTGATTCTCCTGCCTCAGCCTCCCAGGTAGTTGGGATTACAGGCATGTGCCACCACCCCTGGCTAATTTTGTATTTTTAGTAGAGACAGGGTGTCTCCATGTTGATTAGGCTGGTCTGGAACTCCCGACCTCAGGTGATCTGCCCGCCTCGGCCTCCCAAAGTGCTGGGATTACAGGCACGAGCCACCTCACCTGGCCCCAGGAGATTTTTTTGTGTTGTGGTGTGCCAACAAAATAAGCCTAGGCAGGGAAATTCCTTCTGGTGGTAGGAATTGTTAGTACTGAATAGACTAGCTGCGAGGTAAAGAAACCCCACGGTGTTTTCTATCAGTTCAGAAATCACTGTGACCTCAGTCTTTTGCTGTGAAATAACATGACCATTAAGAAAGTAGGCTTAAATAATGTATTTTGGGTATGTCGAGGGGGAAGGACAGTTACGATCTGTTCCAAAGTGAACATAAGAGATGATCCCTGTGTCTGTCAAGCCTTTAAAATTTATAGTGCTTTTCTGTTAATCTCAAATAAGGTTTAGAGTTATTGTGGCATAGTCTTAAAACCTGCAGTATATCAAAAGGCACATTTTTAAAGCATCTTGAATTGAAATTAATAATGTAATATCTACTTTTTCAGAATAGTAGTTTTTACATTCTGAAGACTTGACTGCTCTCAGCCACTTCTGAGTTCTCTATTTTCAAAGATAATTTGGTAACTCCATAAAGGAAATCTGTAAATAAGAGAAGAGAGTGAATATCTTTTAACAGTGTTTTTCCTGATCTTTTCTAATATCTTCGTTGTGGTTCTGTCCTTTAGTTTTTGGTTAAATCCTGAGCTTTACTTCTGCCTGTATCTTCCCAAACTATTAATCTGTTCACAGTCACTCTCCCATTTAAACCCTTCAACAGCCCCCCTACCTTCGTAATAAGGTCTCCTTAGCTTGGTATCCAGAACACTTCAATACTGGCCTTTGACCCCTGTTCTCCTTCCCCCATCTCTGTTTAGGTGCTTCACTGAGCTGCAACGAACAGCTCTTGGCCCCTTGAAATCTCTCCAGTCTCCTTGTCTCCCTCTGCTGGAATATTCTTCTCTCACTTCATCTGATCATTGCCTTCAAAACTCAGCTCATTTTCTTATTTCCTTGCCCTTTTCATGTCCCTCGTTTTCCTCCAATTAAATTAATGTTCCAGACTCAAAAGAAAAACGGCTCAGCTCAGGCATTACCTTGTCTGGAAGGCTTCCCTAGTCCTCCTGCCTCCTGCAGACTTGTCTGGTACCCTGTACATTCGGGATTTGGCACACTGTGTCTCGTCTGCGGCCTCCACTGCACGATGAGACCGTAAGTGTGTGGCTTGACGAAAGTTGTTCAATCTTTTGTGCTGGTACAGTGCTGGGCATGGCACTGTTACACAGGAAATGGGCCACTTAAATCCTGCCCTTAGGAGCTTTTATTCTAGTTACACTTGACCCTGCCAGCTGTGAGACACTTCCCAGTAGTGCATACCAACTTTCAAAGTCCATTTAATTGTATCTTAGCGTCTGATTCCAGTCTTATTTCTTGAAGGAGGGGAGTGTCTCTAATGTCTTATTTTAGCACCCAGAGACCAGGTAGGCATCATTTTTGTCCCAAATTCTGGAAGGAATGTGCATTTGGCACAGATTACTTCCCTTTTTTTCTTGTACACCTTTCACCTTTTTTTAAAGTTTGATGTG